CACATTCAAGCAAAGAGTTGGAACACCTAACTTTTGCTAAGTTTATAGAGAAAAATGTCAGAATTACTTAGTTCAGTACTGTTTAAATGTTTTGAGTTTATGTATAACCTATGATCTTGAGGCAAAGGAGATTCTTTTTTTAAAAGATTTATTTATTTATGCATACAAGAACTGGGGTACAGGCCAGAGGTATGGGGGGTGAGAAAATTCACCAAAGACAGAGTGGGGAACAGAATAGGCATATGGATTGAAATACACTGCTGAGGGGAGCAGCGGGGGAGACAGGAGAGGTCTACTGCACCAGGTGGGTAGCTTCCTGGCCAGGGATCAAAATCGTGCTGCAGTAGTTGCTGATAGCTTTGTAGGTTGTGTTTTAATCCCTTGTGCCACCAGGGAGGCCTGAAAAGGAGATACTTACTCAAGTAACACAGGTAATAATCCTGAGGTTCTTTATTTCTTATAATTTCCCAGGTAATAAAGATGCTCTTGGTTCCAGGGCAAAATTTTGAATAGTAAAAGTTTAGCTCACACTGGAAGGACTAGACTAAAGGGACAGGTTAAAAGTAAAGAGGGACCATTAGGTTTTTAGGCTGTTTGGGAGAATCACATCCATCTTAAAAGTGCTTATTTCACCCATCCAGGGACTGTACTTTGTCTATAAGCTCATCTAAGTGCTACACATCCATCCCCAGGACTGACCAATAGTACCAGGTATTCCCTTCTATAGCCTCAGGTTCTGGAACCCCCTTGAATCCTTCAAATGGACTTCATGGGGAATCCTGGGGAATGTTGCAGATTCCATAGGATCTCCAAGTCAAATCAACCCTGAATATAGGTTGATGATAAGAATCCTGGAAACTGGCCAACACTGAGAACAGGATAAGAGAGAAAAATAGTTTAGGGGAAAAATGAAACCACTTAAAAAAGATTACATTATAGTTTGAGGGAAAAATCCATCACTCCACAGACACAGCATATCAGAGGAGTTCACAGGTCACTAAGCTCAAGTGTAAGTGTCAATTTTCCTATTGTGTGTTTAATCACGCATCAGTGATACAGAAGGCATGAAAGGGAGCTGCTTACAGTGAAGTGCTCCCAAAGCACATTGCATTGCTCATCAAGTCAAACTAAAGCTTGCAGTTCCTATTCAATCATGTACTGATCTTGTCTAGGATGAATAAAGAGAACCTATCTTTTGCTCACAATATCATAGTGACTATAGTAGACTGTTTCCAAAGTTGACTGCCAGAAACTGCTCTCATTCTTCCATACATGCTGCTTTACTATTGCTCCCCTGAAAGTGGGCTGACCTTGCCACTTGCTTTGACTAACATTATGTTACAAAAGAAATGTCCTAAGACTTCAAAAATTAAAAGTTAGGAAGTTTTCACTTTCCCCTAGTTGGGATCCAGGTGCCTTATAAGAAATTTGCAGTAGATTATTGAATGAGTGTCTACTTGGGGAGAATGAGAACCCAGCAGTCCTCAGTCCAGCCTCTGCCATTCTCACAGCTAAATACAACTGCATGAATGATCCCAGTCAGTACTACAGAAATCAACTCACAGAAAAATAGAAAACAATAACAAATAAGTTCTGGAGTTATAGATGACTGAAATATAAATTGCTTAGCAAAAACTTAACGCATGTGTTATTGCCTTTAAGATTGAGTGGCAATGGAGACTACTACTCAAGGTTGAAGCAACAGTAAAGAAATTGCTTTTGGAGTCTTGAAAAAGTAATGACAGAATGTTTGGCAACACTACTGCCTGCTGTACAGTGAAAAATAGAACATATGATTAATGCATTTATAGATCTGCCTTAGGAGATTGTTCAAGCATACTGTCAAAGTTTTTTTTTTTTTTTAAAGAGAATTTCTTTCTATTTATTTATTTATTTATTTATTTATTTATTTATACAAGCACTGGGTACAGTCAGAAGCATGGGACGGTGAGAGAATTCACCAGAGCCAGAGCAGGGCACAGAACAGGCAGACCGATGAAATACACTGTTGAGGGGGAGCAGCGGGCGCTGCAGAAGAGGTCTGCGTGCCATGTGGGACACTCGCCAGCAGCCAGGGATCGAAAGGCACTGCAGAGGCTGTGGGCAGCTTGGCAGCCCAGCACTCAACCACTGGGCCACTAGGGGAGGCTCCATACTGTCAAAGTTTTAGTGGTATATGATAAGGTATTAAAAAAAAATAAATGAACTCATAGGAACTATTTAATTGTCATGCACAATTCAGATAAACTGTAAAGACCCTAGGGCAGTCTCAACTCAGCAAAATATTCTAAATTTAATAAATGGCTTCACGGCAAAGATCAAATCAAATTTGTGGCTGTATGATTCCTTGGTGATACCTCTGAAATAATGAAGGTTGTGGTGCTTCATAGGCTTCAAACAATGTCAAGGTTAAGGTCCTTGAGTCACAGACCAAAGCAGAAAACACCCGTCTGTAAGTAGACATTGCATCTTGGTAATGAGTGGATTGTAACTGACCACTCCTAAATTCTACAAAAATCTTAAACAAAAAAAGGACGGAAATTGTTTAAAATGAAAAGGGGTCTCATGAAAATGAAAATTTTTACTGGCTGATCAAAAAGTAAGTCTGAGGTAAACACAGCTATTTCTTATGGAAAAGATAATGCAACACAGAGGGTGAAGTAAAAAACTTTTGAAACAACAGATTAGGGAAGCATTACCCGGGAGCAGAACTAGATCTTAATCTAAACATATTCCCTGTTTCTTAAAATTGCCAAGAACTCATGCTGATATATAATCTCCCCTTCTGAACAGAAATATCTATTCTCCATGCTACCATTTTATATTTGGGAATGTATGTCAAAAGCACATAATTTGCCTTTTTAGTTCACAGGTCCAAATCAAGAGAAAGCATATGAGGAGCCTCATCTGGATCCAGACCTGATGTAAATGAAGAAATCCAAGACTTTGAACTTTTGCTGTAATAGGATGACAGTGTGGAAGAATGAGGAGTACATCTTGAATATGGAAAAGATATGGGTAGATATAGCGACAGGTGGGCTATGGTATACAATCTCCAAAGATGTCTGACAACAGATTTCTTCATTTCTACATGGATCTTCTTTCTGCCATTTTGAGTTTGTGACTTACTTTCACAAATAAAATACTGTGGAAACAACATTCTGGGACTCCAGAGCCCAAGTCTTAAGACACTGCATAATTTCTGCCTTCTGTCTTTCAGATTACGACCATTATGTAAAGAGTTTGGGCTAGCTTACTGAATGATGAAAGGAATAAAGAGAGAAGTCCAGGGCCTCCCCGGTGGCGCAGCGGTTGAGCCCTGGGTTGTGAAGCTGCCCGCAGCCTCTGCAGCTCCAGTTTGATCCCCGGCTGCTTCCCGGACACCGGAAGAGGGTCCCGCATGGCGCGCAGACCCCTCCTGCCGCCCGCTGCTCCCCTCAGCAGTGTACTTCATTCCTGCCTGCTCTGCTCCCCGCTCTGGCTCTGGTGAATCCTCTCACCCTCCCACGCTTCTGACTGTACCCAGTGCTTGCATAAATAAATAAATAAATAAATAAATAAATCTTTAAAAAAAAAAAAAAAAAAGAGAGAAGTCCAAAAACTCCAGATAAAATATGGGTATGAGAGACTCTTTTGGATCCCCCAGCTCTAGGCACCCTGGTCAATAATAAGTAAATCAGAAACAAGTCTTCTCTGCTAGCCTTTCCCATAATAATGAATAAGTGAGGGATTGCTATTTTTTTAAGCACTAAATTTTAGGTCAATGTGTGCAGCAGTAAATAGTTTGAACAAGAGAGATAGTAAAGTACAAAACACAACTTGTAAATTTATTCAAATCCTCTTTAGTACAACATTTGTGGTGTGTTGTTTGCTTTTACATTCTTTTGATTTTTTTAAAGATTTATTTTATTTTATTTTATTTTATTTATTTATTTATACAAGCACTGGGTACAGTCAGAAGCACGGGAGGGTGAGAGAATTCACCATAGCCAGAGCGGGATGCAGAACAGGCAGACCGACGAAGTGCACTGCTGAGGGGAGCAGTGGGTGCAGCAGGAGAGGTCTGTGCACCATGTGGGACCCTTGCCAGGGGCCGGGAATAGAACCAGTGCTGCAGAGGCTGTGGGCAGCTTCGCAACCCAGCGCTCAACTGCTGCGCCACTGGGGAGGCCCAGTCTTTTGATATTATTTTGACTTTAAAGTAATATAATTGAATAACATATTTCAAAACACTAATGGGGTGATGATTTTGTCTTAAGGCCAACACATTCATGTAGAAAAACACAAAACTGACCCACATAGGGCATTAAACTATAGACCTATAGACATTGCTTGGATTGACTAGTCCAGAGAGTTTACTGTAAACTATCATAATCACACCAATATAAAGAAAAATATACCAAAGATGACCAGGATCATTTTTCTAGGAAATTTCATTTATAAATCATTTAGATCATTTAGTCATTTTTCTAAAAGTCATTCCTATAATTAGCACATTTTTTCTTATATTCATTCATTCAAATATAGCAGAGTCAAGAATAAACAACTAACTATCTGGGAAGTTTAAATCCAGTAACACATAAGTTGGCTCTGGATCCATATCTTAAAGAAAAATTATGACACCAATTAACTGAATAAATACCTCAACAAGCAGTTATAGAAAAAGAACTGTAAATATGCAGGTTGTACAAGGTTGAATTCTGGGTTGTTTTATCTACAGGGGCCATTATGTGAATGTTGACCCCTGAGGACATCCTCTATAGCAATGCAGCATATTGAACCTATTGTATACAAGGATGAAATATGATTTTGCCCTTGAAAATATGGCATTCTAGTAGGAGCTGAGTGACATGATTAGCAATGGCACATGCACATATATGTAGTGATATACATTTATTATGATGAAGACAGACAAAAAAAAATGAGCTTTTGGAGTATAGAGCAAGAATGCTAAGGTATGTAAAATGCACAGTATCACACACATAGAAGGTGCAGCTTACCTGGCATGCTGATGGATGACTGTGGTTGAGATCCCAATGGGAGGACACTATGTCAACAGACTTTTTGGCCATGTTGAGTAAATTCATCCAGCCGTGGAAAAGTGATAAATGAAATGGTGCATTTTCTGAATAGTTAAGGCCTTCAGGAATATTTTCCACCAGGGCAATTCTTAGAAAAAACATTGAAAAACAAATGAAAGAATCTAGTCAAATTTGAAGCCATAGAACTTTTTCATACATGCATACAGAGACATCTAATAAACCATTTCTTAATGTGTACATTACTCATAATTTATATTTCTTCATCAAAGACCTCTTATACTTCTGTGTTTTTGCTGTGTTTTTGAGAGTTTATGCATTTTTCTTCCATCATTAACACTTATTTTAGAAAATCATGGTATGTGTCCCTAGTGTCCAGTTACAAACTAATTTTGACAAAAAGTTAAGAACTTCTTATACAAACATTTTCTTCTAGTAATACACTCCTTTTTCCACTAAAATAATTATATAAGATATTACCTCATGACATACATTTTTGCATGCCTCCAGTTTACAGTACAGTGTTGAGTAAATATTAGAACTTAGTAAGTACTATTATTATAGGTTAGCACCTCTGTTGATGGTTCTCAGCTGAAAGCATAGAGTGATACAGAGGAGGAAGTCATAAAAACCTGCCTGTTTTAGAAAACATATTTTTAAAGATTTAGTGTTTGATAGATAGGAGGAGTAGGTGAAGGAGAAACAGATATGAGTAATCAGTGACTCAGATTTTCTTATAGGGCCACCATATCATCTCTGAACTGGGCTACTATAAACACAATTGTATCCCCACCTAGATACAATTCTTAATGTTCTCTAAATCACTTTCTATATTACATTTTGGTTAATCCTTTAAAAATATAAATCTAAACACTCTGTTCAGTGGCAGTGTCCTCAGGATGTTGTCCTCTCCTACCCTCCCAATATGGTTAACAAATGTTTACCAGTCTGACCTGGACTCTCCACACTTTTACTGCACTTATATGCCCCCTTGAATTTTACACTAAAGCTACTCTATATTTTGGCATTTCAAGAGCATTTCCCCAGTGCCAATTTCTACGCTGCTTATTGAGCTACTCTTAATTAAACTTTCAAAGTCCTAATATAAACATGATTTTTTTTTTTTCCTGAGAGGCTTCCTTAAGCACCTAAATCTGGTTACATCTCCCTTATTATCCTTTTCCATAGTGATTTGTTACTCCCTTTTCATCTTGCTTATAACTCTAGAAATGATTTATTCAAGGCTGATTTTCCTTGATAGATTGATGTAGGGTGTATTTATACTGCTGCATTGGTTTACTATTGCAGCCCCACTGCCTAGATACTGCTCATGGCGAAGAATATCTGCTAAACTTCAATAAAGTCATAAAAACAAAGGAAAATGGAGGCAAATGGAATCCATTAAAACTGACAAGGAACAAAGACTGTGGATTGGGAGAAATTATCAAAGGAAACCAAGATAAAACCAGCCCAAAATCTAATTTGGGAGGGATGTCTTTTATGTTTGGTAGTGTGCAAAACAGATGAGAAGATTCAGAAAGGACCCTTATAGAAAGAGGAGGACAAGAGAGATTAGGAAAAAGCAGGGTTTGGGAAGCCAAGCTAAGAGAGGATCAACAAATTGGAGAGGAGAATTTTAAATCTACTAGAAAACTTTTGAAGCAACAGACAGAGGTTAACGTTGGATATTTTAATTCTATCCATATTTACATCTCAATGATCTATGTTAACAGAAACTAGACATAGTCTAAAGAAAGTAGGCCAGATAATTAGCAGTTTCAGCCTACTCTAAAATTAATGAATATATTTAAAATCAAGCAAAAAAGAATCCCTCCAATAAACAAAGCTAAAATACAATGGTTGCTAACAAATAGAAAAACTGGCTAGTTAAATTTTATTTCAGTGTAAAAGATATGCTAAGAAGACTGAGAAAGACCAGATAAATTGAATGTATGGCATGAAGGATTTGGAGAATAATTATGTAATACTAGATGACTTTGTAGCATCCTTTCGTAAATACCATATCCTCTGGCTTCGGATAGGTATACAATAACGCAAGGAAGTGAATTGTTTTGGAAATCTTTAGAACAGGTACTCTTAAGCTTTGATCTATGGCCATTTTGACAAAGTTGATTCTTCCAGCCCATTAGCAGGGTGTATCTTGCCTTTTTTTTTGTCTTTTTCTATTTCTTTTAACAATGGTTTATATAGTTTTCCTTGTAAATTTCCTTCACCTCCTTTGTTAGAACTGAGATTATCAGAGGGGAGGTGGGGAAAGGACAAAAACAAGGTGGGGATGGAACAGGATGTACTCTGTGGTGGACTATTGGTGTGTGGTGGGTCTGGTGTGGTGACAGCACCTGAGAGGAGAGATTCTATGCTTCTTTTAGACAAATAATGATCTAAGCCAAGGTTACTTCAATAAAAAAAATTGATTTAATAAGTAAGTTCAATAAAATGGTAGGGTACAAAATCAATCTGCAAAAATCTGTTGTGTTTCTATATGCAAGTAACACATTTGAAGAGAAAGAAATCCAGAAAACCTACAAGTCACAATTATGACAAAAATAATTAAATACTTTGTTAAAATAAATTTAAAAAGACACACGGAAATGGAAAGATATTCCTAGCTCATGAATTGAAAGAATCAACATGTCAAAATGGCCGTCTTACGTAAAGCAGTATACATATTCAAGGCAATCCATATCAAGTCTCTAATGGCATTCTTCAAAGGAATCGAAAAAACAATACTGCATTTCATATGGAACCACAAAAGACCCTGAATAGCTAAAGGAATCTTACTAAAATAGAGGACAAATGTTGGTATCATCCTCCCAGACTTTAAACTATATTAAAGCTATAGTAATGAAGAAAGTATGGTAGTGAAACAAAAGGTTACCCACAGACTAACTGCCATGCATTAATGGACAGTTAATCTATGTTGATGGAATAAAAAATTTACATGGGGGAAAGAAGCGCCACTAAAACTAACGTTAGGAAAACTGAACAGCCACATGCAAAAGAATGAAGATAGATCACCATCTTACACTTCACACAAAAATCAAATGGATTAAAAACATGGATATAATCTGAAACTGTAAAATACATTGAAGAAAAAACATTCTACAACATCAGCTTCAGAAATTCCTTTGGGGATTCCTCTCCAATGGCAGTGGCAGCAAAAGCAAACATAAATGGGATTACATCAAACTAAAAAGTTTCTGCACAGGAAAAGAAACTATTAGTAAAACAGAAAAACACAGTACCAAATTGGAGAAAATATTCGCAGATAACACATCTGACAATGTGCTGATATCCAAAATACATAAAAGCTAATGCAATCCAACAAAATAATTAACCTAATTAAAAAAATAGCCATAAGAGAGTAAACAGACACTACTCCAAAGAAGACATACACATAAAAGTCTGCTTATCATTCCTTATCATTAAGGAAATGCAAATTAAAATCACAACTGGATACAATCTCATACCTGTGAGAATGAACTGCATCATAAAGTCTAGAAACAACAAATATGTGTGAGAATGTGCAGAAAAAGAAATCCTTATATATTGTTGGGAGGAATGTAAACTAGTATAACCACTATGGAAAACAGCAAGTAGGTGTTTCTCAAACTATTAAAATAGATATACCCAATGACCCAGCATTGCATCTTCCCAAAGAATGGAAAACATTAATTAAAGGAATGTGTACCTTTATGTTCATTGTAGCCCTATTTACAATAGTTAAGTTATAGAAACAACCCAAAATGCCACTCAGCTATAAAAAAAAAATGTATCATTGTCATTTGTAACATGAATAGAACTGGAGAGGATAAGCAAAATAAGTCATAAGGAAAAAGACAAATAGCAGATGGTCACACTGATGTGTGGAATATAGAGAAATATAACAAATGGTCAGTTAAACCAAACCAATAATAATAAACGCTTAACATCTGACTTCAAAACTGAAGTAACTAGAAGGGTAGGGAAAGGAAGTCCCCAGTAGAACATGGTGGAGAAAGTGAAAATATGCATATGTAGAGGTTTAACTTATAACAATCAAAGCAGATACAATGACATAAACCTCCCTGTTTTTAAAAATAGTGTTCCAAAAGGGAGTGCTTAGTTCCCAAAGAGTCTGTACCATAGAATTCCAAAGGGGTCTGTGATACAGAAAGGGCAAAGTAGTTATGTAGCACTTAACACACATTCTTATAAGATTTCTCTGCATTATTGAAGATTTAGAAGTGTGTAAGATAATCAAGAGAGATTTTCAACAAAAGAGAATTGGGTCAAAGCCAGACACAGGCAGTATTTAATCACTTCTGGTTGACAAAGAAAGAAGAGCAGATGAAGAATACAGAAAAGAAAGTATTGAAGAAATTAGAAGAGGAGAGTGAAAGCCAAGAAACAGAAAATTTGTAGTTATTATCCAACTTTTTATTAAATATCAAAGCAAATTATGGATTTATATGAAAATTAAAAACGGAGGAAACCAAGATCTGGGAACCACATTTAGGCTTGGACAGTGAACTCAGAGCAATGCCCCAGAACACTGACCCTGTTCACCTCACCTTCCTCTTTCTCATTTACATGGATATTTTAATTGTTCCTTGTGTGGTTTCATATATGCTGCCAGGAAAAAACAAAACAAAACAAAACAAAAAAAAAACCTCTAAAATCAGCTTTGAAATGACTTCTAGCTGTAACCTATCATTTTATTTCTTTTATCAACCAACAGCTGGCTACTCTCCAGAGGCCTGATCTAATTAGTATGCTTGCAGAATTCTTTTATATTCTCTAACAGCCTTGCTGCACTCTTACTTCTCAAGCAAGGAAACACGTAGGCAGACCTTATTAAAATTCACCTTTGTGCAAATCCCTGGAATGCCTGCTTACCATCTCTAAAAGATCTATGCTCAAAGGCTGCAGCTCTATTTCTAACACCTGGTAACAAAGGGGAAAGCTGACTATACAAAGACATAATATTTTTATAAGCCTCTCATGGTATTTTGAGAGAAACTATAAATGATGTGAACTATGTCCAAGAGACTTAGGTGGAACTAATATGAGGAAAAAAATCAAATAGAATTCTAGCTGCTTGCATTAATAGTATGTATTTATTCTCCA